GAAGATCTTTTCTTATTAGAATGATCAGTGAGTTTTCCAAGTTGCTGTACCTTCATAATCAACATTAGCCTCTTCTTTCTGAATCCTCTGCAATATCGTCAGATTGACACCCAAACAATGTGAAATGTTTCTACTGGAACTTCTGGTGCAAATGCCAAGCAGTACAGCATGTTGTTTGTAAATTTCTGTTGAAGTGAATTGTGTCATGGTGCTTTTTTTTTTTTTCTCCCAGACGGTGCCCAACTGACCCTACTATACTGTGCAGTTGACAAAACAAAAACAATGCACATGTGAACATTTTAAAATATAAAGTGATAACAATTTACCTCTTTTGCACCCTGTAAACACATTCCCTTCCACGTCCTCATGTAATTGTTTCATGGTAGTTGTGACATGACTAGAAAACTTTTAGTCTCAAATAGATTGGCTGGCTGGATTTTTTTTTTTTCTTTTGTTCTTTTTAAATTCCCTATCATTCTAACAAATTCTCTTAAATATTCAAGAAATGTCTTCCACATCTTCACTTAGCAAGCATTCTAGAATAAATTCATTATTTAAAATTATAAATATTTTTTTAAATTTCAATCCCAAACCCATCTATTTAAAATTCAATTGTAGTTTTGTCAAAATTCTTCAATCCTGAATTATTAAGTATCCAGTTTACACCATTCACATTGTTCACACTGTTGTCATCAACTTTGTCATATTTACAGTATTTCAGCCACTGTATACTCCAGCTTACTTCAGGTGATATACATTTGAATTTTGAACCAAACCCTTTATTTCATCCACCAGGGTAGATTGTTCTAGTTCCACGTGCCATACCTCTTCTAGATATCTCAGTGTCAGTTATTTCCCTTTAGTAACTCAGCTCTCCAAGTTTTTGTTCACCTCTGCTGTGACCAGATATTGAACTTACAATTCTTTGGATCAAGTTACTGGGCTACTTCAACCAATGCTTTTATTAACTAGGCCTTGTGTCCTTGGGGACATGATTCAATAATATATGGCTCCAATATATATCACCTGAAGAAGGCTGGAACATACAACGTCTGAAACCTTGTGAATATGACAACAGAGATGAGGAAAACAGTCCGAAAAATATAAATAGTTTAAATAGATACAATAATCTCATCTCAAAATGTATCCACAAACACAAACATTTTTAATCCTCTCACCGAAAACAAAGCAATAGAGCCAGTAAATCACTAGGGATTATTGAGGAGTGACTACAATAAAACAGAATTCAAGGAGACAGAAGAGGACCATTGCTGACAAGAAAGCAAGTAGCTGTGAGAGAAACTATTAAAATATACTTATGTAAAACGATGAGACCTAGCTGCCAATCTAGTATTGCATTTAAATTCATGAAGATGAGATACCAAAGAAGAAAGCTCATCAGAACAATTATCCATGATAATATTTATAGAAAAGATTTAGATATGACAGTACAAAAGTGACTGAAGCTAAGATGCCAGGTCAAGAACAATAACTCCAATGAAGAATCTGCCGACACATAGAAGCATCAATTCCAACCCCATCTATTTAAAATCCAATTATAGTTTTATTAGGCTGCTTCAATCTGAAATTATTAAATATCAGTATACAGCCATGTACCAGATAAATAGTTGCACCATGCTTTCATCATTTTTTTTTTTTCTTTCTATGTGCCATGTCCTTTCAGAGCGTAGGTGATCATGGCTCTCCACCTCCCTCTATCCCTTGCAGCTCTCAACAAGTTCCTTCCCTCTGCTACCACCTCCCCAGACCATGTTCTGTCACCCACTTGCTTAAGGTCACTAGGTATGTCATGCGTTGTTTTCCCTTGTCTCTCTTTCCCTCTATTTGACTTGTGAGTATCAGATTCTCCAGGCCCTCCTTCTTCATTATGTGCCCCAGAAACTTCAGCTGCCTCTTCCTGATGTTAAGTATAAGCCTCCTCTTTGTTTGCATCCTCATCGTTGCTCACAACGTCCTGGGTATGGCGATAAACTACATCTGCGTCCTAGGTATGGCGATAAACTACATCCAATAGCAAGGCCTCAGATAATGTTTTCGGAAAAATAATGTTGCCAGCTATACTTTTTTGAAACAATAATGTTGCCAGCTATACGTTTTTGAACATCCTGGGTATGACGATAAACTACATGTGCGTCCTGGGTATGGTGATAAAGTACATCCGCGTCCTGGGTACGGCGATAAACTACATCCAACAGCAAGGCCTCAGATAATGTTTTCGGAGAAATAATGTTGCCAGCTGTACGTTTTTGGAACAATAATGTTGCCAGCTATACGTTTTTTATTCCATACAAAATAGGCATTTAAAATTCATATAAACTGGATTTGGCATTAAATAACCCACAGTGGTTGATATGCCATAAAACCCAAACAAACAAATTGTTGCTTACATGCTCAGTCCATGATATCCTTAGTATCCTTCTGCAGAACCACACCTTGAGTCTCATCATCTTTGAAGAAATCATCCAACATTCACTGCCATAAAGGAGGACAGATGTCGCATAACAGCTCAGTATTGTTTTCTTTGTCACCAAAGAAATCCTCCAGTCTTGCAGTACTCTGTCCAGCTTTTGGAATGCGTCCTTGGTCATCCCAATACATCTATGGATCTGTGTCGCATTTACTGTCCTATCAGAATGCTTCCCAGATATTTAAACTTCCACATCTGCTTGATTCTAGTGTTCCTGACCTGCACATCGCATTTTGGCCTCATCCTTTTACTGATGACCATGCATTCTGTCTTGTAGTTTATGCTTAGTCCCTTCCTCACACTCTCTATTGCTACCTTCTGTAGGAGATTTTGTAATTTTTTTCCGTGTATCTTGCGTTAAGATTGTGGATACCAATGCTAAATTCTCATAGGGTTTCCAATTCTCTCAGAATTGCCTTGCTGTAAAGGTTGAACAGGTCAGGTGAGAAGCCAATCAAAATGTCACCTGATGAATTCAAACCACAAACTTATTGTACATTGAAAACACAGGTAGTCGAGAATAAACAGTGAAAGATTGACAGTAAGTCTTGGCCTGTGACTAACAAAACAAAAATATCTTAGTGCATATCATATTTGGGAAAGAGGAAATTGCAAACTTTTTGAATGATCAGTATGAAAATGATCTCTCCTTTTTGGGCATGCAGTGGACGCTGATTATTAATTTACGTATGTATTTTGTGCAGTGGATTGGAATTTTTCTGCACGAAATACCATAGCTCACATAAACTTAGGAATGAAAACAAAATATTCATGAGAAATAAATTTTTAAATAAATGTCTGGATCACTTGCAACTTGTGTATGGCGAAAATTGTGAAAATTTGCAAAGTGTGTAAATCAGAATTTTAACCAACCAACTTAGTCAACACTAAATCATGCTGCAGAGGAATGGTTTTTGGTCTGTGGAATTCAGGAGTGGAAGAAACCAAGCCCTTTACACTGAAATGGACACTTTTATTTCGATGCAAACTTTAAAAATAATAAATGTGCATGATAATTTAATAGTTTTTTTTTTATATTCAGCTGTTTTTAGAATTTTAAAAAAATTTATTTATATTTTAATTTCTTAGAAAAGTCATCTTTTTTTTTTTTTTTTTTTTTTTTTTAATGATTTGCCTACCTCTAAATGTGACTCATAAGTTTATATATTAAAAGTGGTATTTTGTTGACGTCTCCTCAAATTGTATATTATTAAGCTGATGTAAAAGTTTCTAGGATTTTTTTTTTCAGAAAATATATATATATATAACATGATTCTTCATCAAATTAGTTTCTTTGGCTTTTGATGAAATTGTTTCAAATTTCAACTAAATTGTGTTCCATTTTCTAGAATTTATGCCTTTGACCTGTTAAGACAGCTAAGCAAACACAGATGTTGTTTAAAAAAACAAAAATGGCTCGAAAGGGACAAGTCTAGAGATTTTTTTTTTTTTTAATTTCAAATTCATAATTGTTTGTTTTAGGTTAAACTTTCATGCAACAAAATCAGTAGTTGAATTCCTTGCTCAGAAAAAATATTTTCTCTTCAAATGGGCCAATTGCTTATTGTATCCTTGTGAAGTAAGTTTTTTTCTAGCAATTTGAAATAAAAATTAAAAAAAAATAACAAACTTCCCTGTTACTGACATGATATTCTCAGTATCCTTCTGTAGAATTAAATTTGTTGCCTCAAGTCTCATCTTCATCTGTGAGGAAATTATCCAACACTTACTGCCATACAGCATGACAAATATTACGTGGCACTTAAGTACTGTTTTCTTTGTTTCTAGCAAAATTCTGTTTCTTCATACTTTGCTTTGCTTTCAAAAGGCACATTTTGCTATTGCAATGTGCCCTCAGATTCCAGTGTTGCATTTTCCATCCTGTTAAAATATTTCCCCATTTTCATACATGCTTCATTTCCACATTCTCCAATTTGTAACTCACTTCTAAGATTGTTATTCTTGCCAGTTTAAACAAAAAAAAAAAAAAATCACTGGAGATGTTTTGGAGACCTCCAATATTACTATGATCTTGTTACAGGACAGAAGTGTGTGTGTGTATATATATATATATATATATATATATATATTCTGACAACACTGAAAGGCGAACTCACTACATTAGGAATTTGCAATAGAAGCAAATCAGATACATGTAATAAAGAAAGAGGGCTTGGAGAATTTGACACTCTTTTGACATATTAAAAAGCAAGGTGGCGGGGTAATACTGAATGACCTACCAAACAAGACTTTGTAAATGGACAACTGAACAGAGACTGGGAAGGATAATAAGAGAAGAATCACTGCTTAGATCTATAAAGAAAAGGAAGCTGTGAAGGACTACGATCTCCCACGTTCTGAAGGGTCACAGATGAAGAGACAAGCTTAATAATCCTCACCTTGATAAGTAACTCCCAACTCATTTGTCTAAATGATACTAGGTTCATGAAAGATAAAGAAAGATGTCACTTACCTTCAAATAAAACCTTTATCTCAAATTATAAAATCTTACCTGTGGTTGATAATGTACCTGCCCTGAGGGCTGTCTTGTAAAGTGGGCAACAATATGATTCAGAATTTTGTTGAAGATCCATTTCCGGTTTCATGTGCATTATGGGTAATACAGAGTTCATTTCTCCTGATTTAGCATCAGTGACCATCATGTTCACATTGTCCCATTGGAATCCATCCATAAATAATCCATGCACATAGACACCATCGTTTGGGACTTCCATCTGGAAGAAAGGAAATACAAAAGCAAGGATGTAATGATTAAATTCAAAATGCCTATTTTTATTTAATTGATATTAAATGAGGAAGTGTTGAAAAGTTCTTTGTGGGATCCACTCCAAAACTTGATCAGATTATCAAACATCAGAAGTCCTCTGTGTTCCTTAGTCAAAAAGTTCTAACACACACATATATATAACAAAAGTTTGACACCACAGAATTTTTATATTGTTTTAAATATGCATTCTTTAAAGGATATATATATATATATATATATATATATATATATATATAATTTTTTTTTTTTTTTTTTTTTATCGACAATTCAGAAAAATACATTAGTACCTTCTTAGATAATCAAAATGAAAAAAATTCACACAGCAACTATACTCGGGTTTCACTTTGCAAATTTGTTTCATTTAGTTTGTCCAGAAAGTCACCAATGTATTCTACTGAAAAAGTGTAGGTCAAAAAAGTATCCTTTAAAAAATGCGTTTTTGTATGTCCAAAGCAAATTTACTTTAAATGTTATTTTGAGTGGATACTTGTATTTGAGCAGGCACTCTATTTATTAAATGGTATATTTATTTATTTTTCACCTACCAACCTGAATGTTCGAGAAATCTTAAAGAAAATTTAGCACTCACCAGGAGGATTTGAAACTGAAAAATTTCAGATCTCTGGCTAGAGAAATTTCACTTAAAGGCACAAATTTGGCCTTGCCTGACTGAATTAGTTGGTTAGAGCATGCCAGGCTTAATGGTAGCTCCCTGAGAGTGAAAATTTTCTTTAATAACTCTTCCCAAACATTCAGGCTAGTAGACAAAAATAAATAAAAATGGACTGTCTACTCAAATACAAGTAACCACTAAAAATAACATTTAAAGTAATAAAAATCTGTCAGATTAATATAAAAACAAATCTATTCTAAAATATATGTGAGGGTGCAAATAACATTTCACAAATGTGGGTGTTGTTGATGTATAAAATAGTCAAAATTTATATTGGGTCCAAGTTTGGTTTGTTTTACGGCATACCAACCTCAATGGGTTATTTAATGCCAATAAAATTTTATTGTTGGTAATAATTTTTTTTTCTTTAAAAATGTATTGCTGGTAATAATTTTTTTACTAAGTATTTCTGCTATTAAAATCTATTTTTACACTTTCATAGCATTTTGACCCCGGTTTGGAGTTAACTATTTGCCCATATCTGCTATGATTACAATGGTAAATACTGCCAATTTTGGGACCATTTAGAAAATAACAATAGCTCCCTTCACCACTCCTGCAAATTTGAGATTTTTATGAGCGAGTGAAATTATTTTCTCACCAATGAAAACCAAAAAGTTCACACCTATGTGAAATTCGATTTTAGTCCCCTTAGAGATATAAAAATAGCAGTATACTACTTTTGGAGGTCAGTTTGATCTACATACACATATATACAATGGAAGAGAGACATCTATTAGCCATTGACTAAGGCCTTGTCCACATATACACAATAGAAGGGGTTAACCAGCAACTGCCTACTAACCCTTTGTCCTAAAACTCACAAAGTCATTGGGCTGACCATCATAAAGTCTGTTCACACATTTCTACTGCACTAAGAACACTTAATTACTTTATAAAACAAACTTCACTGAAAGGAAATTGAACATTATATTGTTATTGTATATTTCTGAAAAGAATACATAAATGTTATTTCAACTGATGTTCCGCTTTTCCTCCAGAAAATAATCTTTTTTATAAGTTTCATTTAAAAAACATCATTGTTGTTAAATGTTTGAAATTCAGACACTCAGATAAAAAAAAATGCCTCTATAGACAGATCCCAACAGACATAAATAACATTTGTTATTATAGATTATATACATTAAATATTGGTTTTGTATGAAGATAGAAAATGTTTTAACCAGACAATATATTTTTGTCAATATTTTTTTTTTTTTATACATGAAAGAAAAACACATGCATTATATTTTTAAAAATGAATGCTTGGTAAAGAACTGATTTTTTTTTTTTTTATAAAATTGCTGCTTGAAAAGTATCACCAAACATGGTCTGTAATGCTAAGTGTAGTAATTTTGAAAGCTCAGTGGTGCTAAATTTTGAATTTCAAAATTTGCAAAGGTGCTTTTAAAATTGACCTGGACTGACTTGTGTTACTAATAGTGCCATTCTTCTGATAGAAATGTTAAAATAAATTTTAATTGTTCTGGGACTTCAAATGTAGCCCAAACCCTACTCGCAAGCCATTGCAAGTTAATTCCATTCATACAAGCAGTCTCATAAAAATAGTTTTAGGTCAAAATTTACTTGAGTCAAAAAGTAAACAGTGTACAAAAAGTAAACAGTGTACAAAAGTTCCCAGCAAATAGTTTCAACCTGTGGTCAATTCTATAATCCTTAAAATGTTCTCAAACAAACATTTGCATCATGGGGTATGATGATATACATCTGGCAGCAAGACCGCTTATCAGGGTGACTGTTGTTGAGCATGGAACCACCTCATTATTTCTGTTGTTCCCAGGTTCACCCTGACCTGGTGTAGTACCACCTATTAGGATCCCAGCTAGGAACAAATAGTGAATCTCTAAGCAAAAAGCAAATACTATAAAAGTATAAAAATACCAGTAATACATAGTAAAAAAAATTCTGCCAATAGATTTTAATAGTAAAAAAAAAAATTAGCTCCCAAGAAAATTAAATTTTGGTATTAAATGAACCAAACGAGGCACGGCATGTGGAACTAGAACAATCTACACCGGTGGATGAAATAAAGGATTCAGTTTGAAATTTTAATCACCTGAAGAAGGCCGAAGCATATGTCTGAAATATCATGAATATGGCAACAAAGTCCGTACAATGTAAATAGTGTAAATGACCCATGAGGAGTTGATATTTGGGAGGATTAAATTCAGTTGTAATCAGAGATTGATAGATTTCATTTTTAAACCTGGGCTATGAATAAAACGGGACACTGTATATTTATTTTGTTGATATGACATCTTAGAAATGTTTATACAATGTTACATACAGATCTGGGTTTTAAGTTACTCTTCTGGGGGTTAATATCAGGAATAAGTCAATGAACTTTCTCAGTCTTAACTTTTTCTTCTAATAGGAATTAGAATGATAATATCGAGTCAATGGCCAAATCGGCTGCTAAGATAGCTCGTTCACTGTGTTGGTGCTAGACAATCTTTCTCACCCAAATCTGTTTAGCCCATTTATACGTTTACCATTCATCCGTGCTTTGAATATTTCTGACATATCTGTTATGCATATAAAGATTCTTGATAAAATCCAATTCTTCTGATAAGTTATCCTCTTCGGTATCATGACTTGACAAGTTTACATGTCGCGAGTGTCATACTAGATTGGCAGTTAGGTCTCCTCATTTTACTGCTGAAAATGCTAAATGTAACCCTGAGTTCTATTTTGATGATTACTACTTTCACCTTTTGGAACTCTCTCCTGACTTCTTGCTTTCCTATCAACTATGATCTTCTAAAATATAAATGAGGTATTAATTGTCATCAGTTTCTTTGAATCTTGTCCTTTCTGTCAATAGCATTTTTTTCAGTTTCCTCCTTTCTCAATAGCCCCTTGTGGCTTTATCACCTTGCTTGGATGGAAATAATGAAAAAATTGTATAATTGGTTTAAATATTTAAAAATATTAATACTGTCATGCATGTTGTAGTACACACAAATCTCTATGTAAAATTGTTCATTCAAGTATGGATTCATTTAATTGATATCTGCAACTGGATGTGTGGCTTTGTGGGCTTTCTTCAAATGTGGATTCTTCTCATGAGAATGTTAGAAACTTTCTTCCCTCTCCTTATTGCGTGTACGGCTTATATCCTGTAATACCATGTGTGCAGATTCTAAGCACAGCTGCATCAACCACCTTCTTACATACAACCACTGACATTCTGAACCTGGTGGCTAAGAGGTTACCTGCTCATTCAAACAGCTGATGCATCTAATTTCTCTGATGTAACACTGAGTGCAAAGTCTGCTTTGGTATAATCTGGAATGAACCTGGTATGTATTCAACTTCTCTAGGAATAAAGGCTCCTTATTAACATTAAATTCGATTTAGTCTATCTGCTGAATTTACATTATTCAGACTATTGTCCTCATCTTGGTCACCATATTTATTACAATGTTTCAGCTGTTGTATGCTTCAGCCTTCTTCTGGTTGGAATGTCGAACTGAACACTTTATTTTGCAGATGTAGACTGTTCTTGTTCCACATGCCATGTTTAATGGATGTCAGTTATCTCCTGTTAATTCCCCTCTGCAAGTTCTCCACTGCCTTAACAGGGTATTGAACACACTCTTTGGGTCCTGTCACTGGATCTAACCAACGCCTTTATCCACTGTGCCATGTGTCCTTGACAGCAGCAATGGTATGAGATATTTTTAATCATATACTATATATTTACAGTTATTAGATACACTACTGTACAAATATTTATATGAAAATCATTCTTTTAACACAATGAAAACTCTTTTTCGTTTTTTTTTTTTTGTTTTCTTAATTTTCTGCCTAGAAATGTTAGAAAATATACACAGCTGTGAGCATAATTAATTCAATGCATTCTGATATCAATTTAATTGGCCACTTACTTCTTTGTCCATTTCTGCCTTTTGTCCAAAACTTAAGTCTGCCAGAGATCTGATGTATTCTGTCTGTTCCCGGAAGTAAGGCAGAATGTGGAATGTGAAAGTGAGGCGGTCAATTGGTAAATTGTATTTCCGGGCATGGTTTTGCAGGATACCTGTTAAAAAACCTGAAACAGAAACATGACACAGGTATACTAATCTGCAACATTTAACATCATACGAATGAAAAGCAAAAAATGAAAAAACAACTTTCCAAATTCTGGGTTTGACCATGACGTCAAATATAAAATGTTTATCTTAAATATAAAATAAGTTTAACAGCAGACTGGAAACTTTCTATTATTGTAGTGACATGCTACTCTGATATTTCTGTATTATATAGGAATAAAGTGTTGCTGATGACACTTGAGTTTGAACATAGATCGCCAGTGAGCAAACACGGGTGGTCCCTTTATTGAATTAAGTGGATCATGTGACTTTAGGAGAAATACATAAGTAGGTAGTAGCATGATGTCTAAACAATCACTATTTCTAGTTTATCCTCTATGGATCACCATTTCTAGTCTATCCTCTATTACTATACAGATACTATTCTCTATGCTATTCACTATACTATTTCTCTATTTGGATCACTATACAGATTGCTATTCAAGTGAGTATTATCAAGCAAGTAATATTAGTGTGAGTGTTATTCAAAGGCATCTGACATCAGTATTGTTCCACGTCATTACTATAGTTGTATCTGTGATTACAAAGTCTCTACTACAATGAGTATTATGAAAGTGACAAGTATTCGTTGACATCACAATTTTGTTTCAGCAAATAAACTCCTATTTAATCTTGAACAGTTTGTTCAAATTTATTAATTCTGCATATTGTTTCAGACATTTTACATTGGTTACCCAAAACCATTATTATTTTTTTTGTTTGTCTTTTTATTTTTACCAACTACATTATACTTCAAAACCTAGAGTAATTTTTACAACTTTCATTTTTAATTGGAAGTAGCATCAAAGCCCTTTGCTGTTGTAACACTTCTACATCATAAAACCACCAATGACCAGCCACTTCCAAAAGGAAAGCATGGGAGAAGATGATGGGTTAGGATCTGGACTAGCAGCAATCACCAGCAACCACCTGGCTCTCATCATTGATAACTTCTACCAATTCATTCAGTGATTCAGGTTTCACCCCCTTCTGCTTATCTTGTAGATCACCATGACTTCAACCACCTACCCTTGGCTATAAATGCCTGCTAGTACCAACTCAATCCACCGGCTGTCTATTGACCATCCACTGACTGCCTATCATTCTCCCAAGTGGTTCCATCTTAATTTTCTGGTTACCAACAACTACCTGCCCTGGGCTATGACTGCCAGCTAGTACCAATCTAGTACACCAACCGTCTATCAACTTTCATCACTACTCAAGTTGCTCCAGTCAAGATCAAGTCAACTACCAGCACAACCACCCAGGGTATTTAAAATGTCTGGATTTTTTTTTTTTTTCTGCCAACAATAAATTTTGGTATATTTTTATCTAAACTCCTTGTTCTCATTATCCTTGCCTTGGCCTGTCACTTTTCCGTTTTAATGTCTGGCAGGTTCGTCTAACATCGACATTCAGACCCCACAATACTATACACAATTTGCAGTATATACCGTTATATAACACTTCATATTGCAGTAGTAGCATAGTACCTGTCAAAAATGTTAGAATTATCGTATGGATTCTATGACAGGATTTACCAAATTGAGACTTTAAAAAAAAAACTTGCTACTATATTTTGGATTGCATTACTTGTTGAATTTGAGAAAGCTTCTAAAAATCTAAATTTCTCTTAACTGGAATAATTTTTTAAAGTTTAATTCAGAAATATCTAAACCATATACAACTGCTTTCTCAGTCCAATGTCTTAAAATAGCTCCAAGCGAATGAACCCTGTAGGTCTTAGCAAGGACAAGCCTATTTAATATTATGGACTGGCACTACAGAATTACAAGCAAGAAACTGTACCAAATAATGAAAAAAAAAAAACCTCAAAAAATGTCAATTTTAAGAGCAGCAACAAATAACATGAGAAAATGACAATCAAAATGCTGATGTTTCACACTGCATCAAACAAAGTTTAGGAAGAAAGCCTCAATGCTCGAAAGAGTGATAACAGTGAACTTTAGGAAACATGTTGAATAAGCAAGTGTTTTTAAGTGTAATTAGCAAAATTCCCAACAACAATAATAAAAATAAGAGCAAACTAATACAAGAAATGAACAATATAATATGTGGCAAGGCAAATATAAGACCCCAACAAAGTAAAGCAGTTATAAGACAATATAAAGAAACAGTGTCCATGGGTAAAGGGATACAGTCAAGTGGTTATAGCCTTCAGACTATGTGGGAATAAGACAGACTTCATTTTTTATTGTTCATAAGAAATCCCATCTGTAGTATTTGTCTATAATTTTTTTTTACAACTGTATTTGAAAGAATGTAAAGAATATTTATTTACTAAGCTTAGTATGACACAAGGTCACAAATGTTGGAGCATCCATTGAGAATTGAAATCCTTGATAATAGCAAGATTGTCTTGCGCACTAATGAGGCATCCAAGAAGTAATGAATAAAATTTGATCTAATTAATCAATGTTTCAACAACTCATCATTATGAAGTTATATTTCTTATATCGTGTTTGCATAAATGTATTTATCCAATCAACTTGTAGTAATGTGCAGATACATGTAAATTGATATTGTTGAATAATCGTGCATTTTTAAATGGAATTGATGAAATTCCAAATAATAAAAATAAGAACAGAGTAAAAGAATAGAAGAAATGAGAAATGGAATACAAAGTCATTATAAGAGAATAGCAAAGTAAAGCAATTATAAGACAATATAAAGAAACAATGTCCATAGGTAAAGGGATACAGTCAAGTGTTCTGACTATGTGGGAATAAGACAGACTTCTCCATTTTTTTATTGTTTAAAAGAAATCCCATCTGTAATACTTGTCTATAAATTTGAGGAGTTGCGGTTTTTAGCAGTCAACCCAAAGAAATTTTTTTACTAACCGGTATTCACTGTATATGTACAGGAATGGTAATGGTGAGATTAACTGTTTCCTTATAAGGAAACATTCAGCATTCATTCATTGCATTACTGTTGAATTTATTTTTTTTTCTCTTAAAACAGTTTATCAGGAAAATAGGCTACTCAAATCCACTGTTATTGTTCCTTCTAGCATTGATAGGATATTCCTTCCTAACTTTTTGAACCAAGTCAACAATTTTAATATCCATTATGAAAAATTAGAATCTTAAGAGAAGAAATGAAAATTGAACTTTTATTTTGATGAAAAAAGAATTTCTCTCTGTTGGATAATTTAGTTGAGTGAGATAAAAATTAAAATATTTAAAAATGCATAAATTGCTCCTGTAGTTTTTTTTTTTTTTTTTTTTTTAAATTGCTATTATAAGAGTATAAAGAAACGGTGTCCATAGGTAAAGGGATACAGTCAAGAGGTTATAGCCTCTGGACTTTATGGCAAAAAAATAAATAAATAATTGCCCTTTTTTTATTCACTAAGAAATCCCAGCATGCATCTCTGGGATTTGTCTATAAATTTGAGAGGAGTTAAGACATTCCCTTGATTGCAAATATTCAACATATGGGGTATTTAGCTTAGAATTCCATAGATAACTTATGTTGTTTTGATGATTGTGGTATATACATGTTTTGTATAAATGTGGTATTATGGTGTAAGGAATATCAGAACTGAGATTGGGGCAGTGAATGTGACCAACTTAAGCTTAGTGACAAAGCCTAGACCATTCATCATTTTTCAGCATTGTGCCACATTTTGTCTAAGTATCACAGATTCATTCTCTAGTTTGCAACAAATATCCTGAAAATTGTTTTCATGTAAAGATTTTGTAAATCTCAACCTTGGTTAACAAATGTCAAATATCTCCTTATAAGTATTGTAAGTTGGAAGCCTTGCACAAAAGATTACTAGTCCTGGGTATGATGATAAACTACATCTGGCAGTAAGGCACCTGATCAGGAGATTGGAGGTTTTGAGGAGCAGGGAACCATTTCTTAATTGTTGATGTTTTTTTTTTTTTTTTTTCCCTAGGTTTACTCTGACCTGGAGTGATAGTACCTGTTAGGGTTCCAGCTATAGGAAAATAATGAACTGCCCAAATAAAGACAAAACACTATATTATAGTAAAATGACCAGCAATAGTTTATCTGTAATCAAGAGCATGTAATTGTTTAAAATATTTAGATTTTGGCATTAAATAACACATAGTGGTTGATATGCTGCTAAACAAAATCAGCCAAACAACCAACGTGAAAGATCTTTCAAGACATTAGCGCTTATAACATCCTACAATTTTTTATTTTTTATTTTTTTTTTTTTCTTAAAGAAATCAAACTGTATTCCAAAATATAACGTCAACAAAATTACAACATAAAACATACATATAGTAATCATGTCCACACAAACATGTATATGTGAAAAGGCTGAGGAAAATCTACCATGTACGTAGTTGTGAAAGCAGAATGACATGTTATATATTTTTAATTTCAAAGCTTCCAAGAAAGTTAAATTTCAGCATTATATGACCCATAAGGTGTTGATATGCCATTAAACAAACAAGATATCAGAATAATAAGCAGCCATCTTTTGCTAATTGTAAAAAATTGTTGCTCTTACACAATAAATCAAAACTATATGTTGCTTGAGTCACTTCTGAGGGTAGGGAGAAAATTTGCTTGAACCTTCTTATTCTCCTGACTTTACTTGATCTATTTTTTTTTTTTTTTTTTTTTTTGTCATCGCAACAATTTTAGACTCTTTAAATCTGTTGCGATGACAGGGCTTTGATGCTACTTCCAGTTGTTGCGATGACCTGGTTTTATTAAAACTGATATTGCCTTGCAACCTGAAAATCTTTATATCCAAAGGATCAATGATTTGGTAAATAGCTGAGATTGTGTTATTGATTTTTCTTTTAGTAAGACTCAAGAGTCACTCAAGATAGAGGGTTATTGTTATAATGATGAGTGAGGTTTGAGATATGGAAGAAAGTGTTGCTAAGTGAAGAGTAGGAGGATAGATAACAATTGACTCTTGACTTGAAGAGGTTAAGATTATAGTGTT